TGCACTTGTATACTGGCGAGCTTTTGCCCCTTGCTAATGAAAGTTATTACTTCATTAAAAAAAAACAAAAAAACAGGGCAACATAGGGGTGGTTTCCGTGGCGAACAAGATTAGGGAAGCGAGACTGAGATGGTTCGAACATGTGAAGAGGAAGTTTGCGGATGTGTCACTAGGGAGGTGTGAGAGGATGGTTGTAACATGAATTATGTCAGGCCCAAAACGAATTGGGAGGTGATTAAAATTTAGACACAACAACCCACAACTTCCGGTTACTGAGTGGCAGGACCCTAGATAGGAAGTTTTGGAGGTTTATTATTAGGGTAGAAGGCTAGTAAGTAGCCTAGTGTTGTCGCACTTCGTGTGGGAGAGTTAGGGGCTATTTAGTAGTTGCGTAATCTGTTATTCTTCTATGTGCATTACTACCCGTTGCTTCATTTGCTTTATATCTTGCTATTATTTTGTCATATTATTTTTGCAATCCTTCTTGAAAACATTTCTTTCGAAAAAACTTCTCTACGCCTAAAGGCAGTAGGGTGTGCTTACATCCTACCCTCCCCAGACACACCTCGTGTGATTACACCGGGTATGATGTTGTGTTCACTAACATCACTGTGTTTTTTGGTAGGTTTGGATCGGCAGTCAGGAGATGCAACAAAAAGATCAGATGCAGAACGCTGGATGGACATGCCATTCTGTTGGTTCCTATAAGTATGTTAGGCTTAAATTTTAAAGGACGACTACATGGTCAGATAGAAAAATTGCCCAACCATGTAAAAAAATCCCAACTGTTTGAGAGAAGAAATTCTAGATGAAAATGCCACTTCCTTTGTTGTTCACTTTGTTTATTTGCACAAAACACTAGCAATTAGATGTCATTTGCATTTGGTGTTCTATGATATATGTCTGCTCATTCGAACTCTGCCATTGTTGATGACTACAACATAGTAAATTGATAGGACCTCTGTTTCTCTGTTTAATATGCTTTCTCCTTTAATAGGAAAAAGCCAATGACAGCTGCTGCCTTTTCTGGAGATGGTTCTGTTCTGGCTGTAGCTGCAGAAAAAGTTATTACATTGTGGGATCCGGAGAGGAATATTCTTGTAGCTACAGTTGGGGAGAGTCTTGAGGTAAGTTCTTGGCATGCCAGTATTAATTTTACACTATTGACCTATAAAAAAATAACGATTTCACACTTCCTAGTTCAAATTTAAGTTGCTTGCCTTGGGGAAAGAAAGTTTTTCACCTAGTATTTGAAACCTTTTTACTTAAAGTGTTCTTTATGACTCACTTCTGAGTTGCTGTCTGGTAACTTCATTGGATGGCAAAGAAGTTAGCTGAGGGTTATCCTTTTTGTTAAACAATAAACGGAAATATGAGCACATAAAACAACCGAAAACAAATCTTGAAAATCTTAATTTACAGTTTTGATGCTTTCCTTGTGGCAATTTATACACCTTTATCATTCTTTCCGTATGTATACAATATTTTTCTCATTTGAACTGTTTTCTATGTGCAGCCAATCTCTTCCTTAGCATTTATTGGGAAGTCAGAGTATGTGGTAACCACATCGCAAGGTTCTAAGGCTCAAGTATCAGTGTGGAGCATGTCAAAGCTGTCTGTATCATGGTCTTACAAACTTAAGATAGAAGGTTTGTATATATCTCTTGTTTATCATACTTCGCCCCAATAAACTTTAAACAAATATAAACCACTTGCTTTTGGCAGCTTATGATAATTCTCTAATCTTATCATTTATTTCTAACGTTCTGCTTCTAGTTACTTAGAAAAAATGGATTAATATCAATGCAATTGTATGTCAGATACTGAAATTTGTTATTTAAGTGCAACTTGATCATTATAGTGCTAAATTCTCTATGTTCGGTGTTTTTAATGTCATGAAGCGTGTGCTTCACTTTTTCTTAAAGCCCCATGGATGCTTTTGTTTTTTGTGATTTTCTTCAAAACACTGGCATCGGAAGTGAATTGCCAACCATATTTCTCCATTTTTGAAGTTCTCATAGTTTTTGCTTCCGGAATTACGAGCTTGGCTCTTGAATTTGAATTGTTAGGTGTCATATGCAAATGGAAGTATGCAATCTTGCTAAAAAATTAACTGAAGCAAAGGGCTGGTGGATATATTGAATATGTAGTCTGGCCAATGGTAGATTATGCATTGTGATAGTCTTTTTATACCATGAATCTTGCTGCCCTTGTTATCAGAGTTGCATGGCTTGGAGTACAACTAGTAAGCTAATTCTCTTTCAAGCCAAACCCAGGACAGGTCTTTTGGGGAAATCTTAAGCTATCTTGCTAGTGCTAACAGTCCAATTTTGCTGCATTGGGTTTCCTATTAAAAAAAGAATTGCTGCTTTGGAATAGGAAAGCAGGAAATGAGTTGAGGAGACTCAGATTCTAAAATAAGTTTTCCTTAATTTGCACGTATATGTATAATCTAAAAAAGAATTGCTGCTTTGGAATAGGAAAGCAGGAAATGACTTGAGGAGACTGGGATTCTAAAATAAGTTTTCCTTTAATTTGCATGTATATGTATAATCTAACTAAAAGGTCTGAATAAGTCTAGCAGATTCATGGTGAACTTGTAGGCAGATGTGTCATACATTACTGGAAAATCTTTGTTAATGTTTCATCCTAAATAGTATCTTATTAATCACTGCAGCTGTAACTTGTGCGATGGATGATTCCTTGTTTGCCGTCCTGGCCCTTCTCCCAAAGCCAGTTGGACCTGTGATGTCTAATGAAGCCACAACTCTGGATGGCGATGGAGTGATCTTGTTATTCAGGGCCACAGATCATGTTCCCGTAGGGATCTGGTTTGTAAGAAAGGTATTGGCTCCTGTCTCAAATTTTGAGTTCTTGTTTCTTTCGAATGTTTTAGTTGGGAGCTTGATGTCAGTTACAATGGGGAATCGAATCACCTTGCACTCGTTTAGAGGTGGTAAGATCTTGATCTTATGGAGGCTGTTGTGAAACCGATGGGAGAAGGCTTGGACGTATAGCAAGATTAAAATAATTACATTCACCCTGACCTAGGTTTTGTCTGTCTTCATTCCCTTGTTTTTCCTGCACCCTGAGTACAGATGTTTTAGGACGCCCTTCTAATTTCCTGTCACCTTAACCCTTCTGACAGTTTCTTGTGCCTTTCTAATTTATTCATATATTGGGAGAGGTATCACATTTTCTAAGGTGAAAACTCTATTTATAGATGGGACGGGAACTGGACATCTTTACCTTTTTTTTGCATCTCATCCTTTTTCTTTACAGGCAAAAGGTGCTTCACTTGCTTTCATTCGCGGAAGTCCTAAGTCAGAGGATGATGTTACTGATGGCAGATCAGTGCAGTTGCTATTAGCTTACCTCAGCGTTGATCATGAATATATGCTTTTTGATCCACTCGACGGCCACACCCATATACATAAGATAAGCCGAGGAAATCTTGCTGATCTTGAGGAAACAGGTGTGTCCCGTCTTCTCTGCCTAAGTTCATCTGACACTAAGCTTTTATGTATTTCAGTGTCTGGTGTCTATTAATTTGGGGATGTACATGGGCCTTTTTTGGGTTATTTTATGTGATAGGTTGCTTCAGAATACTTTGGATTGGATCAATATACCAAAGTACTTGAAATAAACCTTGTTTTTAAAAACTTTATAATGGGTGCTACAAGCCTTAAAATGACGGGTCCAGAGGCACAAAGATGTATGGTTGCTGAATGCGTTGTGATAAGAAGTCCACTACTACAACTCATTACTAAGTTGGATCAGCTATATATTAATCCTCATTTCATCATTTAAACTCATATTCAATCATCATCTTAACAAATAAAATACGACATGTCCTGTGATAACCTTACGAGAGAAAGGGATTGGGTTTGATGTATTTGTTCTCCTCTGCCCACAAGGTCCTTGTTTCTTCATGGCATGATTGTCAGATCAAGCACATATTCTTGAAAATCTGTACCAAAATCTGTGGATTGATGATATTTAAGAGGAAACAAGCTCTATCTCTAGAACATATATTCGCTGGTAAAATCAGATGATGCATTATTTATAGCTTTAACAAGGAGGTGGGGGGTTTGGATAAGAGGGCTAAGGGGAAGGGCTGCATTAGGGAATTGAACACCTACCCGACTGAGCTGTAGGGCAATTCTCTGCAGGTGAAATATCCTGATACTTTATAATAATCTTCAGAAAACAGTATTTCTTTTTTTAAAAAAGATAATTGTCATGACTGATGAAACTATATGCTATCTATTTGCAGGGAAGTTCGGATATGCATCTCTGTACGGGGACCTACCAGACTTTAGCTTAGAGAGAAAACAAGCTGCATCGATCACATCAGTACCATCAGAAAGATATTGGGAGACGCTATTCAGTGGACCATCTCACAATCTTCCTCCTCTTGCTAAATTGTGTTCCACATTCCTGGAATCATTACTACAGAAGAGTAGTGCAGTTGAGTGATTGGCAGTAGTGTCCGGTTGAGCTTTGTTGCAAGGCAGACTTGCTAATCTATGCTCATCGATGAAACGACAACATTGTTGTTAGGCTTGATCCCATTGTAGCCGAGAGAGAGCTGCCTGACATGCACATGCACATGCACATAGTAATACTAGCTCGAAAGTGTGAACAGTGGGGTCGACTTATAATCTGGTCTAAGAACGAGCCAGCCCGTTCAGTTAAAGCTTTCGAGTTCAAGAAAAAGATGCCCTGATCGAGTGGGTTTAAAATTTTGGTAGCACGATTTGATGTGTCGTCTGGATATTGAATTTTTTGTAGCTTGCAACTTATTGAGCCTGCAGGGCTAAGTAGGCATACTCAATACTGAATAGATGTTCTTTTTTGACAATATTTGGTCATGTGTTGTGTTTAATTATAACATTTATAAGCGCAATAGAGTTGCTATTTAAATATGCTGCCATTAGTTTGTTGCTCCTGTTATAGAATGAATTTTCTTTGATGTGTTCAAAATTAGCTAGACAATATTTAATTAGGTTAAAACTGTTTATTACTATTATCAACAGTACAAAAGGAACCAAAGATGCTTCACAAAAAGCTGATGATGAGGTGTAGTTGCAACTCAAGGAGGATTTGTTGTCCAATTATCAGCCTTGTTGCTATCAAACATGAGTGTTGCAGCTGCTGGAGGCAAATTGTTATCCATATTCTCATCATCATAAACATGAGTATCCTTTCCCTCCAGATCAGAAGAATCTGTAGGCTTCTCTTCTTGTTGGGATTGTTTTTGTTTGGCTGCTGCAATTTTTTGTGCACTTGAGGAGAGTTCAACAGGTTGAGAATCAGCAATCTTGCCTTGTTGATTCTCAATATTACGAACACTTGAGAATAGATCAACTGGTTGAGAGTCAGCAATTTTTCCTCCTTCAAGAGGAGTTCCTGCTTTGTACCTTATTCTAAGAGCATCATCTTCAGATAGTCTTGCTTGAGCTGTCCCATAAGTTATATCATCTTTGCTCTTTGCCATAACTTTAGCAAAAGATAACCCTTATTGTTTAACTATTCTCTATCGTTTTAGGTATATCATAGAATGGACTTGGTTTAATCAGTTCCATGCTGAGTTTTATAAGCAATGGCTGTTTCTGCAAGAGAGGGAGACAAGTGTTTCTACTTGTGAAAACGTGGACAGTCTATCTTGCTGCCTAATAGGGTATGTGTAATACTACTAACTTCTCGCGAAGCAATACGTAGCCTATATAACACATTCATAATTTATACTCGCTCCGGCCAAACATGTATATATATATATGTTCTCTTTAAAAAATCATTGTGAATGTGAATCTAATATAAGTGTCTTAAATATTGTTCAATTCTTTAAGCGATTCAAGCTAATTGACATTGTGTATATTCGTATTACGATGACATATTTAATGTAATCTATAAATAATGTTTTAAAATGATAATATTAGCTTATAAAGGTAAAGAGACTTATTATAATATACTCAATCATAATAATATTTATACAAGGGGCCCTTAGAAAATTTTATAATTTGTACATGATTAAAATACTATTTTATGTATATATAGTAGATGTTGAACCCCTTTTGTGAATTCATGCGTCTATTTTTTACGAATTTTGAACCTCTTATAGAAAATTCTGCATCGGCGTTTTTTTAATGTACCTACTTATTTTTGCATGATAAGTGCATCATTCCAATTTTCAAGCCATACCCAATATCATTTCCTCTTATCCTTTTCTTCCTATTAATTAATTGAGAAATGAAGTTTAAGGTTTAAGATGTGAATATTTAGTGAATTTATAATAGAAAATTTTAAAATAATGAATATTTCTACTATTATAGCTCGTCCATGGCCTTTTTTTATTCACAATCACACCAATAAAAGGGGACTCTCTCTGATTATTCCCTCACCCATCTTTTGGATAACACTGAGAGGGAGTGGACAGACACGACCCACACCACAGTAGAAGATGGAGCTGAACTGATGTAGTCCATTTTAAAAACTTTACAAAAAGAAAAAATCTGTTTCCTCTGGAACAGAATACTGTACAATTAGAGGGCAAGGAGAAGGAGAAGCTCTCTATTTTCATAAATGATCAAGAATGGCATAGATACCCTATATTGTATGTTCTTTTCTGCTGTTTCCTTGTCTATTTATTGTAGAGAGTTGACACTCAGATCATATTTTTGGTTTTTATGATTCATTTCTGGTTCCATTATAAATTTTTAGCTTCTTGATTTCATGGCAGTCCCATTAAATTCAGTATCCATAATAACAAATCCATCACCAGAAAATGCAAGAAATCCTCGTGGATTTTCTACCCACATACCAAAGTTCCTTCCTTTCTTCCAAAGTAGGAGCATTTCAAGAAATTTAGCTTCTTCCCATTTAAGTCCAGCTCTAAAAGAACAGCTACCAGTAGCTTCAAAGGGCAGTATTTTCACTCTGCCTAATTGGAGGTCAGGTAAAAATGACCCAAGAAACAAAGAACTTAGGCTTTATGATGCATTTTTGTATTTGGAATACATGGTGGGGAAGGGCCAAAAGCCTGATAAAACTCATGCAACTCAGCTTTTGTATGATCTGTGTAATTGTAATAAACTTAGGAAAGCTGCTAGAGTTATGGAAATGATGGTGAGTTCTGGTACTATACCTGATGCTGCTTCTTATACTTTCTTGGTGAATAACTTGTGTAAGAGAGGAAATGTCGGTCATGCTATGCAATTAGTTGATAAAATGGAGGAATATGGATATCCAACAAATACTGTGACTTACAATTCTCTTATAAGAGGACTTTGTATGAGGGGGAACCTGAACAAGAGCCTGCAATTTGTCGAAAAGTTGATTCAGAAAGGGTTGGTACCAAATGCATATACGTACTCTATATTGCTTGAGGCTAGTTATAAAGAAAAAGGGGTTAATGAAGCAATGTTACTTTTAGACAATATTATTGCCAAGGGTGGAAAGCCTAATTTGGTTAGTTACAATGTTCTCTTAACTGGGCTGTGCAAAGAAGGAAGAATAGATGAAGCTAAACAATTCTTTAGAAACTTGCCATCAAAAGGGTTTAATCCTAACGTTGTCAGCTATAATATCTTGTTGAGGAGCTTGTGTTTTGAAGGACGTTGGGAGGAAGCGAATGAGTTTCTGGCAGAGATGGTTGGAGAAGATCGTTCTCCATCGATTGTAACGTACAATATATTGATCAGTTCGCTTGCTCTTCATGGGCAAACGGATCATGCTATCAAGATTCTGGATGAAATGTACTTTGGAGAACAGTTCAAGCCAATTGCTGCTAGCTACAATCCGATAATTGCACGTCTCTGCAAAGATAGGAAAGTGGATGCAGTAATTAAGTGTCTCGACCAAATGTTAGAACGACATTGTAGTCCTAATGAGGGGACATATAATTCCATCGCTGTGCTGTGTGACGAAGGATTGGTTCACGAAGCCTTCTCAATTCTCCAAGCTTTGAGGATTAAACAAAGCTCCTCCAGTCATGATTTCTATAGAGCTGTGATTTCTGGTTTATGTAGGAAAGGAAACACATTTGCAGCATTTCAGCTTCTATATGACATGACAGCCCACGGATTTACTCCAGACTCTTACACCTATTCTTCATTGATCAGAGGATTATGCTTGGAAAAGATGTTGGTGGCTGCTGTCGATGTATTCTACATGATGGAAGAAAATGGATATAGGCCTGATGTTGACAATTTCAATGCGCTTGTGCTTGGACTATGCAAATCCAAAAGAACAGACTTGTCATTAAAGGTATTTGAGGACATGATCAGCAAAGGTTATATGCCTAATGAGATAACATATACCATTATAGTCGAAGGCATCATCCATGAAGATCACAAGGAGCTTGCATCAGTAGTCCTAAGGGAACTGCACCGGAAAGAAGTAATAAGTAGAAATACTGTTGAAAGACTTGCTATGCAATATGAGCTTGAAGATATGGCAGTATGCTGATCTTTCACAAAACCAATGGCTTGTGGTCACAGGATGAGAAACTAACAAAGGTTCTTCATTAGCAAATGCTAAATACACCAAATAAACAAAGTTATTCTCATGCTGTATGTCAGATGGTAACTTTACACAACTAATAAACCTTCGGGATAATTGGTTTTCAGATATGGTAGTTGATTCATAGTAGGCTTCAAATAGGTGAGTGGTGAAACTTGTCAATTCTCACTAGCTTACTCTTGCTACTCAATTGCTGTTACAAAAAAAGTTGTATATCTTTCTTTCTAGTGGCCTATTGCATGATAGAACAGACTGTATTTTCATTCTAATTGAAACCTTACAGCTTCTTTCCCCTTGAAATATTGTATATTAACTGAGTCTTACATGTAGAAAAACCAAAAATTCTTTTCATTACAGTGTTAATATTAATTTTTCTTAGGTTCAGTATCACGGTTCAGTGCCAATTCAGTTTTCTAACTTCAAGTGAAAGTGCCTTCTTCGGTCTCTTTAGTATAGTTTCTCTTGAGGAAAGAGGCAAAGCCTCGAGCATGCGCGAATGACACTTACCGTTACAGCATAACCTGTGTAATCTCACAAGTGGGATATAGAGAGAGTGAGGTGTACGTAGCCTTACCCATAGTTTTTGAAGGTAGATAGGTTGTTTCTATAGACCCTCAGCTCAACTGACACCCATGGTTAGTCTACGTAAATGTTAAGCATGAAAAAATTGGTGTCGCCCCAGGTGTAATGACATTCTTTTTCCACGTTTGAACATATTTGGTAAATTCTGCACTACTTGATCTAGTGAGTATTTTTACTGAAAAATGAAAATTTCCATCTTTTATGTTATACGTAGATATTGGACAAAGTCACCAAGCCTAATGTGTCTATTTACCCAGTTCAGATGGTTCATTCCATTCATTTGTTTATATTCGACAAATTTTAGGTGAACATGTTATTGTACGTTGATATGGTATAAATACATGCAATCAACATTATAGATGTTCTTCGAGACAACTCAGATTCAATACGCCTTGATATTCTTGAACCAAGCAAGCACAAGAATGATCATACTAGATCAAAACCAACCAGGGTTTCACTTCACACTTGTACATCATCAGAACATCACATGAAGTAATAACGTTCAAAGCCAAAATTTATTCAAATGAAATGTAACCCCAAACAAATAGAAATCCTCTTAAAAACGTCAGCTTGAAAGAGAACATTCAATATAACTCACATATATCCAACACAAACCAACATTCTTACTACCAATGCTTAAAACTAAAACTAAGCTCCTCCATAGAACATAGTAAATTAACTAATGCACAGCTTCAAACAACGGACAACCTCCATTCTTTGGAGCTGCCACAGAGATGGACAGCGATTATAAAAAGCAGCAGTTTCAACCAAGAAACCACAGTAGGCATCTGGACCCCTGCTGCTGCTCTACTTAGATCTCTGTCTCATCTTTCTGCGCTTCCTTTTCAGTCTCCTCATACGCTTCTTCTTCCACTGCATTTAAAATAAAAACATTAGTCGCTAGTACCACTACAATGGCACAAGAAAACAAAACCTTAGCAAACTCCCTGTTCGCAAAACAGGTTGATGGCATACTGCAGTGCCAACTGAGTTTTGACACAAACACTTTGTTGTCATCTAAAGAAGCTAAAAAACATATCACGTTGTCTTATCTTTCCTCTAAATCTTAAAGGCCACACTTTTCAGAACATTCATATGGAAAAGATATATTCCATGGAAGACAGGGAAGACACAAGATTTCAGAAGATTTCTACCCCAACACTAGATCTCGAAAGACCCAGCACGGTCCAACTTCAAACAAATACTAGAATATTTTATTGATAGGTGTTTGATAAGGTAAAAACAAGTACACTTGTAAAGCAACTGTGCATATTAATATAAAATTCAATGCATAAGATAACACCTTACCCAACCTTTTTGGTTAAGATCAAGAAAACTATGCAAGTTTAGAAAATGGGTCCGCTGGGGCAAAATAAATTTCACACCCCAAACACAATTTGAACCAAAGCACCATAGCTACTATTCTCAGATTGTGGGAATATACCATCGTAATTGACCTTGGACTCGTACTGTGTTCGACAAATTGCCCAAATAGCTTAGGTGATGTTTGATAGCTAACTTGTATCCCTACTCCCTATAATCACTATTGTTGTAGATTAAAATTGTAAAGGAGTATTTGAGCAAGTGTGGTACATATCAAAGTATGTAAACCTCCCACTTCAAGCATTCCTATACGAGGATCTTAAACAATATATCCTCTTGTGAGCTTCCATTCTACCTTATATGGTTTATAGTTTCTCAAAGTCTACAAATCATCTCCAACAATTACGATCACCATGAATCATGTGTCATAAATCTCCAAGCATGACACACTAGTTATCCTCAAGTAATCAGATAATGCAACTGAAAATACGATGTGTAAGAACAAATTCAACAAAAACAATAGTCAATAGATCCTTTAATCCATCATAGCAAACACAATAACAATTGCAAATATGAAGTTTAAGCAAAAACATAACTGAGTAGCAACAGAACTTTCAATTTCGAGCTTACAAAACCGAAAAAGATAACACGAAATGCACTTAGGATCAGAAAACAGACCTTTGCTCTCATGCTTGCTCAAAATTCACCGCCGACTCTCTCTTTACCTCGTCTTCCGCCGCCTCACGGTGCAAATGCGGCCTCCTCTTATATTTATAGGGTGGTAACAAACCCTAGCTCCTAGCAGGTGATTCTAGTAATTTGACCTTCGTTTTTTCTCTTTTCCTTTTTTCCTTTTTTATTATTTCTCAAATTAAATGATTTTGATTTTTGAGTGTTAAAATTACGAAAAAGAATAAGCAAACAAAGTAACATAAAAATTTAATGACTCAACCAAAAATAGTTAGAAAGTTATCCCAATATCTTAATTAGTTGGTAAATGCGAATCATTCATATTCATGTGCCAAAAATTAAAAGTCATTTTTTTCTTAAAAAAAAAAAATCGTACTATTTTCCTTTTGTTTAAATTCATGTGAAAAAAATTATTAAAACATATTTATGTTTTATGTAGTTTTGTTAATTTTATTCTTTTAAATATTTATAAAAAGTAATATTGATTATTGAGTTTATTAAAAACGATGCAATAAATTTAGTATATGATTACATCACAATAAATTTTATGTGGACAATAATGAGTTATACATAAATTTATAATCATCTCTAACAAATCTAATAACTTAATTTCTTGATGGGTAGAGTGTTCGCTATTTTGATCTTTTTCTACGTTGAGATCCTCCAATTGCTACAGTGATATGTAATGGCAGCTTCTGGTCATGACTATTGGCCTCTACTACAACCATAAGTTGACAACTCTAGCTAGCAATTATCGAGGTTCGACTTAGACGTCTAGAATAGATTTAAAATTTAATCTCCATTCGAGTTATATTAGAGAACTTTTTACTTTTATCAAACGTAAAATTTTTTATAAGTCCCTTGTTTTTTATTTTTTCTATGTAATCATTTAATTTATTAGTATAATTAAAAAGTCCCATGCTTATATTATTGTTATTGAAGATTTAATTATCTTGAACCATGAGTATCTAAGAACAACTTCGTGTTTCTGATTTTCATTCTAGTTATCTTATTAATGATACATTTTGTCGTGTTTTTGCCATAAAAATTCAAAAGTTGTATCATGATGAAGCAAAAATAAAACTATAATTCTTGCTAAAAAAACAAATCACACCCCTACAAAGTTATAAAAGCATATTGGAAGTAAAAATAATTTACGCAAATAAATAATTTTATTCTAGTTAATTAGCTAAGATAATTATAATTTAAATTAATATGGCTCATAACATAATTTTAGCTATAATTATATGTCACGTCTTCTATCTCCTCTGAAATACATATACAAATACAAATTACACATATAAATAGACAATTGTATGACAAATATACAAATACAATTAGTCTCTCTTGCTCTCCTTTCTTCTCCCTCATCCAATCTCACTTGCCTCTCTCCTCCCTCTCCCAATCTCGCTTTCTGATATACAAGTACATATGTATATAAGTTACATATATACAATTATCTAACAAATATATATATATACGGTTTGTCTCTCTCCACTCTCTGCGCTCCCTCACTCGCCTCTGACCTCCCTCTCCTAGACTCGCTTGCCTTTCTCTTCCCTCTCCCAGTTCCTCTCGCCTTTCTCCTCCCTCTCTTATCTCGCTTGCCAGATATACAAATGCATATGTATATCAAATCAATTACATATATACAATTATTTTTGCAGATATACGTATATACAATTCACTTCTATAATTTTTTGCCATTCTCCAATCTCGCTTGCTTACCTCTCTCCTCCTTAACATGTAGCTACAAATTATAATTAACAAACTATAATTATAATTATGATACATAATTAACTTTGAGAGACTATATCCAAAAATTCCCCTCACTAAGCAAATTTCTCTATTTTTCATTATTAAGGAGGAATAACTATAATTAAGGCGAATTCTTAATTATTTTTCTTTTTGACATTCCTGCTGACGAGTACCGGGAAATACAATGTCGAACGAAGCCCCAGCAAAACCACCGTGCGACACACCGGAGCATGACTCAGCCGGCGTCAACGGCTTTGACATCAACAACGACACTTCAAGTACTGCCTTAGCAAAGGGCCTTTCCACTATAATATCTTCTCTAATCCGGGAATTTGATGATAGTGCTGCCGCCACCTCTCGTAGTCAAGATCAACTCTCTTCCACCCTCGATCGTCTCACTGGAGGTAGAACTCATCACCTTCTTCTAATTGTATTCAATGGACTTAATTTCGACATTTATTTTTGATGCTCTGTTTAATTGGATTTAGGGATCCATTTACTGTTTTACATTTCATTTTTGTTACCAATTGTTATTGAATAGTTTAAAGTGGGAAGCTTTGACAAGAGGGGCTTGTTCGGATGATAAGCACCCTCCACCTTTAATCCTAGAGTTGTGGGTTCAGTTACCAGTGGAGCAAAACGGGTGGGAGCTCCAGGGGATGGATTATAAAAATAAAAAGTAGGAAGATTTGCAAAAAGAATTGTTCTATTGACGGCACATCTTAGAAAGAGTCCAAATAATCTTTACTAAGATGGTTGTTCCAACTGAATAGCTGAATGGTTGAGTCACAGGAGTAACAATCCAGCTGCAATATGATGTGCAGGCTTACCCAAACAGATGTGGTTGCAATGTATCAAGTTGTTCAATGGATTGGTCGAGATGAGCATAAGATGCCGTCACACCATTGTCATGTTAGAGAAATCACCAGGGTTGGGGCGTGTGTGTGTGCTGGGAGGCAATAGCTGTATATGTAATTTTGTTTGCACCTTCTAGTTTCATTTGCAGCTCACCATTGTTTCCTTGAGAATGAATACAATCACTTTCTTCTTCTTTTTTGCTGTTGCTATATGATATATTATAAGTTCTCATTGAACCATAAAGCTAAAGGAGAAAAAAAAAAGAAATACACACTGCTCTCGTAGATATTAACAGAAGGCTAATAACATTGTTGGCTGTACAAAGGTCAATCTTTATTCCATACATTTTGAAAAGTCAAATTAACTTAGTGGGCTATATTTCAGCGTGTGAAAAAAAAGAGAGTTTAAGATATCTTGAAATAATATTAACTTGCCACTTTTTTAAAAATAGATATCTTGAAATAACTTTTTGGCTCCTTCCTCTCCCTTTGGTATGTACAGTGAGACTTTTGTGTTCTCTATGTAAAGTAGAGATGTCGTCCGTGCTCCTTTATGCCTGATTATTAGTGGCGACAATTGCATTGGAAAAAGGATGTAAAACTGTATTTCCTTAAGTTTTGTTACTACATGTCGATTGCATCAGACCAATCTAATTGCCATGGGCTAACTAACTATTACATGCTCTACAGATGCAAGAGAAATCACCGTTCTACATAATATCTAAAAGTATTAAAAAGGATATTAGGAATAAAGATCCAGGTTGCTAAGTCTGGTGTTTAATCGAAGATTCTGCTTTTATGTGATTAATTTTCTTGTTCTTTCTTGGTCCTGCTTCTACCTGCAGAGCTTGACAAGCTGCTGGAAGATGCCCCATTGCCTTTTATCATGCAGCATGCTGCCAGAATTTCTGGTGTTAGGAAAAGAATTACATCGTTGAACTCACTTTTGAAGTCTATACAGAGGCGTCTTGATAATATCGACCACACATTATCTGCTGGTTTGTTACATGGTACACTTATTTTTTTCTTGATACATCTTATGTCAAGTTTTTCATGGAAATTCAATTAGGATGTGTGCAGGTTCTTAATACTTTGTACTCCGCTATGAATGCTTTACTTGTGTAATCTTTCAAATAGTTCTGTACATGAATTTGGTATTATGTCCAAGCTGTAGGACATAAAAGTTCAATGGAACAGTAATTCCATAATATATCTTGGAAATTAATTTTTCCACGGGGTATATAGCGTTTTGAAGGAAGCTTATATCCACTAATGCTTTTGTTGTATCTTTTTGCAGAGAAGTCCTCAGGGGATGGTGGGCGAGACCATGAGAATCATAAGTCTTCATTGAAGAGGTAATGCTGTTTCTGGTGTTCGATGAACATATAATTTTCTCACCTGGGATTTACGTGAGTGAGAACATTTACGAGCTGTAGGAGTTTGATTTGTGATATATTTCCTAGTCTCTTGATGCAAAAAGGTAATCGAGGTTCATCGGGTCATATCTACTTATCCCTTAAACATTTGTTAGGATCTAGAACACGAAATTCTAGTGCATTAGTTGATTTTTCTATGAACCTCTTACTTTTTAAAAACAGTTTTCCTCCCCAAGAGGACATCAGAATCTAGTATGATAGACAGACATAGCTGAGCGTCAATAAGCCAGTGATCCACACAGTCTCCGCTTATTTGTACAGTTATGGAAGCAGGAGGAACAGGTTACTTCCACTGTTTGGTGGAGAAAGTTACTGGTAAATCTTGACCTCCCATTCTGAGATGCCTATCTCACTCGATAAAGAAAAAAGAAAAAACACTCCATTCTTATCTTCAGAGCAGTAATTCTAAGTAAATGTCTCAGTAGTTTTGGCCAAGTTGGGAAGTTTAACATGTAAAACAAGACAACGAGGGTCCAAAATAGGAGGCATATCATGCATAATAAGTGATACCCACACCTGGAAGAGATTACAGGTAGAGCCTGCTAACATAAACTTTTTCCAGACATATTTGGAATCAATGATATCTTCTGAGTTCTTACTATCTAACCTTTCCCAGTGTGTGTCAAATGAATTAATTCAGTGTAATCATTTTGTCTTGTGTTTCAATATCTTGGTGCTGCAATTGGATTGCTGAGAAAATCATTTGTAATTTGGAGCATTATTGAAGTGTGTAATATTACTGAAGCATGCAACATGTGATAATCTTTAGATGAGCTAAATCTTTTCGAGGTGTTGCCTTCATAATGTCTAAAAGGAAGTGTATGAGTTTTATGTCATTGACTAGCCTCTAAATCAGTTACTATGTGGTTGTTTTGGGGCAGTTCATGATCAAAATCCAGGAGAAGATTCAAATGTCCTTCGCAGTGCCCGTAGAAATCTCCTTCTGATTGCAAGCATTTGGAACTGATTCAGCCTTGTGGTGTAAAAGGTAGTCTGATGCATGAGGTTATAACACACTGCGTTCTGAAAAGATGTTCTTTTACCTGTCAAAAAATTGCATGGTTTCAGCTCTGTGCCATACTACGTCTGAGTTGTCCAGGAAAGCAAAACATTATAAAATGGAAAACCTATGGTGACTGTTTTAGCAGCTCAGCTGGTGTAGGCCTTTAGGGCAATTTGAAGGGTGTATCTTTGTTAAACTTAATTCTTATATTCTGCTCAGGAACATAATTTAAATTGTTTTGCATTATATCAGATGTGTCCTTTGTTTTA